CAGCACCCCAACAAAATAAAACAAATTCAAGTTGTCTTAAGCCTCTCAATTTGCAGTCATTTGTTGCAGCGGGGCCATAAAAAACATACATTGGGTTGGGCAGGGACAATAGATTGGTTTATGATTAATCCAGTTCTACACATTGGTCCAATTAAAAAAAAATACAGGTCAAACCTTTGAATGATAAAGCTCCAACTCCTCAGCATGGTACAGGTCCTTGGCGACATGATCCCATAGGGCTCATGCTCACCTCTGTAGCTCTCATAGAACCCTACTCCATGTTGGCACCAACATACTACCCCAGACCCCTACCTTAGCCTTGGGTCCTGGCCTCTGAGCCCCTTTGCTGTTCCCACTTACTTTTTGTTTTTATTCCAGACAGGGTCTTGCTATGTGGCCCAGGCTAGCCTCAAATTCACAACCCTCTTTGCCTCCTAAGTACTGTGATGACAAGGCTATGCCACCACCACCTGGTCCTCTCATTGAGTCTTACGGGGCTTAATTCCTTTGTCATAGTCCCCATGAATCTTCCAGATTGAAATCTTTTCCCCTACAAATTGACATGCGTTGTTGCAGAGTGCACTGCACCTACAAGAATAGGATTGGGTAGTACCTGCAGCAGTCACTGGCACAGAGTAGGTTCTTAGTACATAAGTGTACCGCCAATTTCTTAAGGCATTGCTAACCGGGACCGTTAAACGCAGATCTTTCTTCGACACTGCCTTTTACAAGAGCGGGTACTAATTCAGTACCTTTCTCAGGAAGGTGCTGAGAGGGGGACAAAGCACACTAGGAACTGGGTGTATAAAAAAGTTCTAAAGGGCTGTGGAGCTAGTGTGCACCGCGTCGGTCCCCTCCTCCGCTCCCCGCCCCAACCTTCCCTCTCCTTAAACCCAGGACACGTTAGGGCAAGTGCTCTGCACGGCGCAGCTGCAGGCCTAGTTTGAATGTAGCTTCCCACATCTGCATGCGAAACCTCCCCACATAACTTGATATCTAAACACAACCTTAAATCTGCGTGTCTCGGTATGGAGATTTTTTTTTCCATTCCAAGAATAAGGAGGACAAGTCATGTTAATAGAGGACTGCTCTTCTTACTTCCTAATCCGGTGAGATAATGGGTAGGGAAACCTTTGAAACTTGTAATTTACAAGCAGGATATCAACGCTAAGAATACCTATTTGTGGGAAAACGCTCTCAAAAGACGCGGCTGGTCGGGTGGGGAGCCCGAGGTCGGCCACATCTCGCCAGTTCCCCGCCGGGCCAGCCTCACTCTAGACCGTCGCGCGAGGCGGCGGTTGCTGACCGCGGGCCAGCTGTTCTCATCAGCAGAGGAGAGCCAGCAAGGCCTGAGGGCTCGGACACCACGCGGAGTCAGCGCACTGCCAAGAGCCGCAGTTGAAGAAACCGCTCTCAGGCTGGACGGAGGCGGAGCAGAAGCACACACTGGGCCAACAGAATAGCCTGAAGATGCCTGGAGCGGTCCTGGGCCGCCCCCCTGGCGCGAGGCACTCTGGGACTTGTAGTTTATTTCCCAGACAGTGCCTTTCCTTCTTGGGCTGCCCGCCTTTTAACGTCGCTTTTATTTCTCCTTCCTTCCCGGCACGCCCACTTCCTGGTCGCCTCACGTCCTCACGTATGACTACACTACCCAGAAGTCTCTCCTCCGCGGCTAGGGGGCGGGGGAGGGAGCTCGTTGGACTACAGTTCCCAGAAGGCCCTTGGAGCAGCGCTTCCCTCGCTCCTTCTCCGGACCACAATTCCCAGAGACTTCACTTCACGGCGTTTCTCTTTCTGCCCGACCTCCTCTGGAGCTGGCTGGGTTTCGGCCGGCCAGCAGGCCCACGGCGACGACGTGGTCGGTCGTGAGCTGTTATAGGGTTCCCTCCGCGGCCCAGTCTTTTGCCCCCTCAGCTTTCCAGCGGCAGGCCGTGGCTGCCGGCCTGAGCGGTGACCTGGCGGGCCGCGCCTGCGCCCTGTCCCGTTTCCTGCCTGGCTGGTGGCGGCGGCCATTTTGTTCATCCTCCTCCTCCTCCTGCTCCTCCTGGTTGGAGCGCAGTGTCCGGAGCGGGCTGGGGGGAGAGAGCCCGAGAGCAAGGTTCAGTGTCTTTTCCTGTGTCCCCGGCCGGTGCCCAGAGCCCCCCTCCCCTTCCTCCCCGCCCCCTCCCCTCCCCAGCCCTGCCCTCCCCCTTGTCCCGGGATCGCTCCGTCGCACCCACCATGATGGAAGACGACGGACAGCCCCGGACTCTGTGAGTACCCGAGACCGGGGGTGCCAGGTGCCGAGAGGCCTGGGCACCGGCGGGACGCTGAGGGTGGGAGCAGGAGACTAGGGCCCGAAGCCGGGACGCCCGGCGGTTCCCTGGCCGCGGTGGCGCGGACGCCAAGTGCATTCCTCATCGGTCCCCTTTTCCTTGGGAAAGGAAGTCCTCCCTTCCCCCCAAACGCAGTCACTTCCTGGGGTCTGGGGCTTGTCTCGACCTTTTCCCCTCGCACCCTTCCTAGGCTGGGTTTCTGCACGGCTGAGGCTGTCAGGCCCTGGAGAGCTCCTGCTCCCCTTTTGCTTTGGGGGCCCTTGGCTGGACTGGGCCGGGAGCTGCTGTCGGTCCCCACGGGGGCAGGGCCGGCCTGGGGGGAGGTGGGACCCTCGCTGCATCTCCAGGGACCCCGCGGTGTAAGCACCCCGCGGCCCTCCACGCCCCCGACCCCGGGCGCACCGGGCTGCTGTCCCGAGCTGCGCCCGGGGGAAGCGGGACGCGGTGCGGCGGCCCCGGCCCCGGCGCCCTCTCGGCCCCACGTGCCCCCGCCCACGCTGTCAGAAACGCCCGCCCCGCGCCCGCTACTTTTGAAGTGCGACAGGGACAGGGACAAGCCTCTGGCCGCTGAGCTCGCTCGCTCGCTCGCTCTCTTTCCCCCTTCTTGGGTAACGAAGTTTACTTTGAGCGCTCGCTAATGCCAAACTGACATGCAGTTGTTGGATTCCCTTGGCTCTGCCGGTGTTGCCGCTTCCTAGTCTGTTTGTGCGCCGAGGCCTCTGGGGTTGGATTAAGCGATGTCTTCACTCGCTGTTCCATGCGTGTCTTCCGGGTGCTTTTTGTGCGATCTTGCTGTTGCAGTTTACCTGGAGCCCAGTGTTAATGAATGAACTTCATCCTCCAACCACTTCGTTCGAGTTTGCTTCCTTTCCCCAAGGAAGAGTGATGACTCAGCCATTTGCTTTCTTTTCCCAGTAGTGTGGCAGCTCTTTGCTTTCTACCGCATCTTTACTTTTTAATTTTTTTGACAGTCTGAGTGATCTCGAATTCAGTGTTTAAATTGAGCATCTTCGGTTTTCCCAGCATCTCGAGGCCCACTGCTCCTACCTGCAGCGCAAGGAGTCAGATCGCTGCCTGTTCCATTACCTCTGCCCGTATTGATAGGCTCAGAGTCCACTTGGACTTATCTGATGGGGAAAGGACTTTCGGGGAACTAGATGAAGGTGAATGGGCACTTCGAAAGTTTGACTAGCTTCTGAAAGCTTCACTCCCACCCATGAAAGTGTGCTCAGTAAAGAAGGGAGATATTCAATGCTGATTTTTTTTTTCCAGTCTGTACTCTTTATTCCTATTTCTCTTAATGTCATCAAAGTATTTGCCATCCTGTTTAGGGAATTTTGAGGCCCAAAGCACGTAAGATGCCTGAATAAAAAGCTTGCTTAGTAGAACTTTTATGTTTTGTGTTATCTTTCATTTCTGCCTTCTCTTCCCAGAAAAGAGAGAATTGAGACAAACTTGAAATTTGTCCTTAAACATCTGTTGAAGCCAAGGCTGGATATTTAGTTAGCAGTGTGTACTTTGATGACAGCATCTGGGAAAAGGCACATTTAGGGCCTAGCTAAGCATGTATTTAAGGAAGATAACAGTTACATTGTATCTAAAATATCTGAAATGTCATCATTGCATCGTAATAGCTACTGAATAATTGATAAATTCTCATGGCCCATGTTTCATTAACTGTATCAGTTTGTTCCTTAAAAAAGGAATTACTGGTTTTTGTCCTGCTTAAAATGCTTTTTCAATATCTTTTTCATATAGTTCGCTTTACATCTACCTTGTCTTCATTTCTAGCAGATCTCCAGTGGACTAATGCGCTAATTCTTTGTTACTTGTTTCATACCCTTACCTTCTCCAACCTCTTTCTCTGAAACACACTTAAGTTGTCTGTGTTTACAGTTGCTAAAAATATGATGCATACATAGATGAGTAAATAAACATCTTAAGCTCTGTTCTGGTATGTCAATACATATTTGCTCTTCTGTCTTCCTTTTTCCTCTCACTGTCTTCTTCCACTGTTATCCATGGGAAGGGACTTTTTTTTTTTTTTCTTTTTCTAGACAAGGACTGCTACATTTTCCTAGGTCTTACCCTCCAGTACTTAGTTCACTACCTGGATCATAAGAGGTACTCAGTAACTATTTTACAGTGGTTATACTTCTTTCATTAAATTGGTATTAAGTTCTTTCTTTTTTTTTTAGTCCTGATTTACTTTGTAGGCAGGCATTGTCATACTGCTGCAGTTTGTTGACTTATACATGTATATTTTAAAACGTTCAAATGTAAAACCTTGGGATAAAAACTAATATTTCTTGGTATTTTTGGTAGAGTAAAAATAATGCATAATGACTTTTAAAGGTATGCACTTTTATATATTTCTCCTCAAAGGGGTTTTTTTTTTTTTTTTTAGATACAAGTAATGTGAAGAAACTGTACATAATTTTAGAGGTTGCTATTAATAGCGTTTTGTTTATAGAGGTTCTGTATTTTGCATTGTGATCTATGGACTAGGTTTTCAAGTGGCTAGTATGTTTAAAAAGAATTGTACTCTTAAAGCTTATCTTAACCTGTTTTCTTAAAATTCCTGTGTGTTACTAGTGAGGTTTTTTTCCTGCAGACACACACAAGCTAAGACATATGGTTCTATCTTCAGAAAACAATATGGTGGTTATAGCCTAGGTAGGTCTTTAAATATTCATTACCTACAGTATTACTAATTTATTTGATGGTATTTAAAGTGGTATAGAATTGCTTTGATGTTGAGCCTAAAGTTCTGTTTGTCATACAGTTGCTTTAAAGGTCTGATTTCTGATGGTCTTCATTCTCATTTGACATTTATTTTTGGGGTATTATGTGTTGGCTAAATTGTCATCTTAAAAACAAACAAATGAGATCGAGCTGTGATACTGGTGTTTGAAGTGGACCAGCCTTGTAGGGCATGTCTCAGGCTTGTGTTGTATATCTTTTCAGTGCAGTGATTGATCCATGGTATATCTGAAACTACAGTATGGCACTGATTTATAGTAGTGTTCTATTATAGTGTATTTTATTTTCTCCACCCCTCTGATGCATCAAAAATCAGTGGGAATTGTGGCTCTTGGACAATAATAGCCATGTTACGCTTGTGCAATGTCGTCCTTTAAGGTTATTTTGTTCTTCCTGATACTAAAGAAGGAAACAAACCAATGATTTAGGATATAATCTGAACATGTAACAACAAAGCAGAAGGAAATATTGTAAAATCTCATTATAAAATTAACTAGCTATACCATGGATTTGGCTATTTTGTAACTATAATGAAACTTCTCATTCAATTTAATCATTTTCTCTTTTTCTTTAAAATGTGTGTGTGCTTTTGTGTCAGTATTCTTACAGATAGTCAATTTAGTTGTTACTACATGCACCTTTTCTCCCTACCTCCTTTCTAAAATCAAATACTGACAAATGGAGCGATTCTTTAGAGCTCTATTGAGGGCTATCGTTGCAAAAATCTCTTGTATAAAAACTTGTCAAGAACAAAAGCAAAAATGTTACTTTTATGGAAATTTAGCCATAATGTTTAGTGTAAAAGTGCTGTAATCTCAGCTTTCTTAGGGCTACTCTTCAGAGTAAAAGCCCTGTGCAAAAACTGTCATTAGTTTTCTGCAAGGCATGATGTTCTTAACTTAAAATTCTGCCCACTTGGACATAGTTTGGCAATGTGAACTTCTACCACTGTGAAACTGCCAAGTTTCTAGTCTCAAATTGGATTTTTAAGCCTGATGTTAGGGATAAAGTATTATTTTCAGTTTTTAATGCTTCAGTTCCTACAGTTCCTGTTCTTAGAAGACAAAATAGACTGTAAGGTATGGCTTTTCTTTATTTTTTCCTTGAATTAAAAATCATTTTGGAATTTCCTACACATTTTCTCATTTGAGTTAACCTCTCACTATAAGAATTCACGTCATTTGTCTTTTTCTGTTATTTTGTATATATTCTTCAGGTAGAAATTATATATTTAAAAACTTGGAACTTTAGAATGTGTTGATTACTTCATAACCACAGCAGAAAGAAAGTGAAGTGTAGAGACTGTCATTTGGAAAGAGAAAAAAGATATTTCGATAAACTACCAAAAGATGATGCTTACTAGGTCAAGTATTGAACTCTGTCTTAAATATTTTTGTTAGCATTTATTTTGGACAAATTATTTTACAAAAATGTAACGGTACCTAAGCAGATAGTACATGTTTTAAAAGCTATAAAATGTGCCTCTATTAACTATTACCATGCATGAAGGCAGATGTAAGTGCATGAAGTATAGGACTCAGAATAAAAGAAAAGGCAGTTAGAAATTTGGGTAAAATTGAAATGAAATTATGTTGTGGATTATATCCTTTGTATTCTGATAAATTAAGATATTATCTGTGGAAGGCCTTTTTATGATTTTGAAATTTGGCTTTCTGCTTTACCACTTCACTCTTAATGAAGATATTTGCAAAATAGGAAACCTTAAAACTGGATTTTTCTATAAGACTTTCATAATGTTCTATGCTTAGATATTAACATTTTTGATCTTTGGCATTAGTGCTAGCATCGCACATTAATAATACACATAAATGTGCCTCTAAAAATTCTTCAGAATCTTTAACTTACTGAAAATAGGTTGACTTGGAATAAAAATCCTATTAAACAGCAACAGCTTTTATTGTGATTGTATGGAAGCTAATTAATGCCCATAGTTTATGGGAGGTAATTAATGTCCATACAGTTTTTCTGGAACAAATAAATGTGTAAACAGTAGAGCAAATGTAAAGCTATATAAATCATTTAAAATTTTTTGTGTTAAAATGATGATTATATTTAAATTTTCTTACTAGTTAACTTCAATATGTGAAAATCAGTTTTATCCATTCTTGTCTCTTAGAAATAAGCTTATTAGCCCTTTAGGTTAGATGAGTATAGTGTTTATAATGTCATCACCTGTTTATTTTCCTTATGGCTGGGTCTCTTATATGAAAAGAAATTATTCCATGGTGTAGGTTCTCAGAGCCTCCATGAGTAAAAAGGGGCAAGCAGTTGTCTGTGGGTAGCTCATAACCCCATAACTTCTCACACTGCATTGGCCCTGGATGGGTCAGCTTAGCTTTAGTTACAAGGAAAAAAAGATGGCATGCCCGACCTAAACCAGTTTGTCAACTAGTTTGATCTTCTATTTTAGTAACATTGGATTTGTATTTCAGCTTTAGAACATGTACCCTAAGGTTAATAACCATTGCAATGAAATTCCTAACTAAAACTCATTGCTCATCCGTAATTGGGCCTTTTTGGTTTTTACTTAAATTTAGCTTTCTCAGTCTGTTTTTCTCTTTCAGCATGTTTCATCTTAAAGCAGTTTAAGTATTTAATGTGGCAACTATGTTGTGAGACTTTAGTTTCAATTTCCAGATGTTGTACATTATGGTTAGAAAAATAAAGTTTAATGTCCTTTTACTTTCCAGAAGAAACTGTTAAGTTTTTTAAGTACTGTTTGTTTTATGAGGTTCATGAGATGTAAGTTTGAAGAATTATTTGCTGAGTACCAGAAAGACTTAAAAGCTTAGCAGTTTATTAAAGTAAGTTAAATCCATGGTATATGACATAAACCAAGGGGGTCATCTCTTGGTGGTAAAGTAGTGATTTTTCTTTCCTTTAAAATTTTAAAAATACAAAACATGTATATTTAATATTTGCCTTATTTGTTATCTACATAAAGGTGTATTTTGTTGATTTTGATTCATTTTTGACTAGGAAATTTCATTATTTTACTGTGCTCTACTAATATGAAGATATACCATTGCTAACAATCTCATTTAGCTAAAAGTAAAAGAATCCCTCACCACCCTCTGTGTGTTTGCTACAGCTTTACTCTAATTCTGTTCTTTGCTCACGTAATTGCTTTGGTTGAGAGTCTAAGATGAACCACTAACATTTAATGTTTAACATCCTTTCATGATTAGGTGTTCTAGTGAATCAGTGTTTGTCATATTTGTATGTGTGGCATAAGTTACTGTAAACTAAAATATACAGTGATCTTAGACTGGTTTAAATTTTTAATCACTCTATAGTAAGATGAGAAAAATATCTATATGGTATAGAATAATATGCCTTTAGGGTGTAAAAGTCATGTTGACTCAGTCTCTAAAATGCCTTTTGAAGTAGTTTTTTACTGGCTTAAGAACAGTTGTTGCTTTCCTAAATAAGGGTTAATCTTACTTTCTTAGGATTCGACTTACATGGAAAAATTACATTAAAGACACAGGAAGTTGAAATAAAAGGTGATGAATTAAGTGATAACACATTAGAGCTGGAGCTAAAGGAAAATAATGCAATTTTTTTATTCTTGTTCAGATACGTAGGTAACCTCTCCCGGGATGTGACAGAAGTCCTTATACTTCAGTTGTTCAGTCAAATTGGACCCTGTAAAAGCTGTAAAATGATAACAGAGGTAAGCTCTTCCCCTCTGCCAGTGTTGTACGGTAGCATGATGTTCAACACTTTGAGATACATGGGTTGATTAGCTTAATCTTCAAAATTCATTTTAAGCCTCAAAATCCTCTGGTGGAAAGATTAGTGCTTGTTATGTTGACTTATTGCTTTGATTTGACTGATAAACTAAGCTTAGAATGGAGTTTTATTTGAGAGGGCAAAGTTTTTGTGCTGCTATTCTTACACTGTCGTTCTTCATGATACAGTTATCTTCAAGTGATTCTGCTTGTCTAGAAATGGATAGTATTCATACAATTCCAATAAAAATGTTAATAATTCAGATAGCATACACTTAAAGTTTAGGAATTGGTGTATGTAATAGAACATTAGAGTTATTTGCATAGTGAAATAGCATGTGTCTTGCACATCTTTAGTAAATACTAATGACTGAGCAACTGAGGCATTTAAATTGCTAAAATAATTTTGTTTAGGTTGGGAATGTAGCTTTGGTACTGTGTGTATCTGTCATACACAAGGCCTTGGGTTCAATCCCCAGCACCAAAATAAGGTAATTTTGTCTTTTTTAGAGAAAAAATACTTTCTGTAGTTTCTTCAGTAAGACTCTATAATAGTACCCAATGACTCATGTATGAGTTACTCTTTTCTTCCTGTCTTTCTGTTTATTCATCAACATGTTTGGTTTTTTGTTTTTGACTACTGAGTACCAGATACTATGGTAAGTGCTAGGTGTATGGCAGTGAATAAGACAGTTCCTAGCCCCATGATATTTTATAATCCAGTAGGGACGCAGAGGAGTTAACAGGTGATTAGACTATAGATAAATAGCATGGAAACAGATAGTTTAAAGTGCTGTGGAACAGATAGAGTATTCAGTATAGTCTTAGGTCAGGAGAGGCTTCTTATAGGAGTCAGTACATAGGCTGAAATCTAAAGGAATAATGATATAAACTGGCAAGGAAGGAATATGGACAAGAAGGGGTTCTAGTTGGAGAGAAGAATGATAACAGAGAGCGGGAGTCGGTATGGGGGTGGGGGAGATAGAAGTCTGTCTTCTGCTAGAAAACTATTCAGTCAGTAGAATGATTGGAGTTTGAAATGGGATCAGTCATAAGAGATGCCAAGAGATGAGGCAAGAGTGTTTGGAAGGTGCCAGAAGCTGTGTGTTGGTATTTTATGCTGATGGGGAAAACTTGTAAAGTGCATTGGCTTTTTGATCTTTTTTCCTAATTAAAGAGTCCTCATTCTGTTCTTTCCTAACTTCATTTATTCATGTAATCTTTCATTAATTAAAAATTTACTTTGCACTAGGTACTCTTCAAGGCACTGGGGATATAATAGAGAGCCAGATAAATGAGGTTCCCAAACAAATAGGGGTAAAAGCCATGAAGAGAATAAAAAGGTTGGTGCTAAGGTAGGAAACGATGAGGGAAGATTAGCTGAGGCATGAATAACAAGATGGTACTATATTTATGTTAAGGGCTGGAAGCTAAGAAAAAGCAAGTAGAAAGGCCACTAGGAGGTAATGAGATGAGCTTGTTGTGTTTGTGGAGCCAAAGAGCATGGTGGTTGGAGCCTGGTAAGTGATGAAGGCTAGTGGTAAGAAGTGAGTCTAGCAAGGTAGGCAGGATTCACAATCTTACAGGGCAAAGTTTACATTTCAGTGGCAGGTCATTGGAGGGGTTTAAGCAGAGGAATGAGGTGCTCTGATTTGCATTTTTAAGCTTATTCTGTAAAGAATGTCTGTTACTACAAGAGAATTGTAGGAAGCAAGAACAGGTGATAAACCAGCGAGGTTTAGTCTACTACACAAAGTAAGAGATGGATGTTTTAGAAGGTTTGTGAACAATAAAATTTAGAGGATATTTTGATGTTGAATCAGTAGGATTAGATTGGCTATGGGTTGTAAGGAAAAGGAAAAAATTAGGGAATACCCTAAGATTCTTGTTAGTGCAGTTGTGTGTGGGTAATGCTGTTTACTAAAATGGGAATGACTGAGAGGAGCAGGATGGATGGGAAGTAGTAGGAATGAAGAATTCTGTTTTGACGATGTTTAAGATGTGCACTAGATATCTAAATGGACATTATTTATAGGCAGTTGGACAAGCTATTTTGTAACTCTGAAGAGTCCAGTGCTAAAGCTTGCAGTGGTATTCAAAACCATGGAACAAGATGATAACACCTAGAGAGAATAATGCTAGAGAAGAGTAGAGGGACTAATTAATGTCCGAGCCCCGGGCCTGGATCAGCTCATCATATAGAATTCCAGTCAGAATTTGAGTTAAGGAGGAAAAATTACCTTCTAAAGGATCCTTCAGTGAGGAAACAGTAAAACCAAGAGTATGTTAAGATTAAGAGAAGAGGTTTAAAGGAGAAGAGGATGTGGTCATCTGTTTTGAATACTGCCTGGAAGTCAAGACAAGGACATGCAGCTTCAGTGGCATGGTTGGGTTGGAAGCTGATAGGAGTGAGTTTAGGAGAAAATGGATGTGAGAATGTGTGTGAAAGAGTTGCTAGAAATTTGTTGATTTGGTAAAAACTTAGTTGTTTCAACAATATTTTTTTAAAAACTGTGTATACAAATATTTGATGAGTGGAGTGACTAGAAATAACTTTCACAACATACCCATATTCTAGAAAATCTAGATTAGAATTTATGAATTGTTATAAAACCTCATGTCCCTCTGTCTTGACATTTATGTCATCCTACAAAAATTGGTAACAACACTGATTAAGGTAAGGACTTAGTTGAATTTTGGAGTGTCACTTGGTGGTGACATAAATGGGAGTCTTCTAAAGGGCATTACTATTTTCCTTTTGTAAATTTTATTTCAATATATGAAAAAATCCTCTTCTCCTTAGTTTTACGATTTTATTACTTTAGATGTTACCATATAATCTAGCTCTTATACTATATATTTTCTTGATTTTAAAGCAAGCCTTATATGTGGTATGAATGTTTAAGTATATGTGTACAGTAGTCTTCCCTATCTGAAGTTTTGTTTTCATCAGTTTCAGTTACCTGTGGTCAACTTCAGTCCAAAAATATTAAGTGGGAAATTTTAGAAGTAAACAATTCAAAAGTTTAAAATTCCACATAGCTCTTAGTAGTGTGATAAATTCTTTGACTGTCCCAACTGAATCATTCTTTTGTCCAGCATATTCACACTGTATATGCTACTCACCCATTCATCACTTAGCAGCCCTCTGTTACCAAATTGACTGTCGAGGTATCTTAGTGCTAATGTTCAGTGACCTTTATTTAACTTAATGCTGGCCCCAAAGCACAAGAGCAGTGATGCTGGCAATTCGGCTATGCCACAGAAAAGCTATGAAGTGCTTCCTTTAAGTGAAAATGTGAAAGTTCCCAGTAAGAAAATTCTAAGCTGAGGTGTGAAGATCCTTGGTAAGAATGAATCTTCTATGAAATTGTGAAATGTGAAAAAAAATTGTTAGTTTTTCTGCTGCACCTCAAATCACATTTAACACACATTAGCCACAGCACATGTTAAGTGCTTAGTTAAGATGGAAAAGGCATTAATTTTGTGTATGTATAGGGGAAAAAAAACATGCTATATACAGGATTTGGTACTATTGTAGGTTTCATGCATGCACTGAGGTCTTGAAACACATTCTCAATGGATAAGAGAAGTCACTATTAGCTTGATATATTGGAATTCAGTATGCATGTTATACTGGTTTCCTAAAATCTATGTGATTTTTTTTTTTTTTTGTAGCTCTGCTATTGGACTCCTGTGTGTTTTACTTAATTATCAGTGTTTCCCTTAGAGACCCCAGAGCAGAAGAGGGAGGAGTAAAAGGAAAAATAGACCAGCCCAACTTGAGCTTTTTATTTACTCTTAAATCCTTTCTTCAGTAAATGTCAACTCATTCATGAGAGAAACTTAAATGTGTATTTTATTTGGAGTCTCTCCCCACATTTCTCCTTTACCTCTTAGGAACAGTGTTCAGATGCCTATGACAATAGCAATTTGTATGTGAACTCATAGTTTTCTATCAGTGTTAGTGATCCATCCCACTTTTTTCTCTCAAGGAAGTGCCTCCATTGCTTTGTCACTATTGTTTAAGTTTACACATCTAATTTTGAGTTTTTCTTGTAAAACTTTCCTGGAATGAAAGACAAGTGATTGTTGAAAAGATTTTTATTTTTAGTGTTTTTATCCTTTGTGAGTCCATGTAGAATTTCACATTTTAAATTTACTTTTAGGGCATTTCACGTTAAATAGCGATACATTTTAACCTAAAATAAAAAATTATTAGTACAGTTGTGCTGCTAGCCAGTATATGAAGTATACTGTATATATATACTGTATATGAAGTATACAGTATGAAGGTTTTTTAAACTTCATTTTCCATTTTTCTGAGTAGTACTACTTTCTTGAGGACAAGAAAGTCCTATTTGTACCTATTTATAAAAATGTATTTGCCAACTACTATCAAGAATATCCAATAAAGTTTTTTATATTGGTGTTTTGTGATGTAAACTTCTAAGCTTTGTTCTGGATTTTTGCTTGCTTGTTTGTTTCATGTGCTGAGAATCAAACCCAGGGACTGGTGCATGCTAGACAAGTGCTCTACCACTGAGCTACCCTCAGACCCCAAAATACATTTTCAGTAGTTATTTTTTCTGGACTTTATCCTGTATTAGGTTTTTTTTTTTTTTTTTTGTGTGTAAGACAAGGTCTCACTATGTATCCTAGGCTAACTTGCTGTTCTTCATTTCTCTTAAATGGTGGGATTACAAGCTGTGCCAGCATGCCTGTCTAGACTGTTCTGTAAGATGAATTCATTTCAATAGCTAGTTATAAATGTTGAATTTTTGTTTTTATTCTCAATTCTTTCCTTAACCAGAAAAGGAATACATATACTCTAGTTTTTGAAGCTGTACAAAGTACTGTCATTTATGGTAGGAGTTCTAGTTTTGATCAGGACCAAAGTTTTGTGAAGTTGCTTCATTCCTATGTTTTTTATAGTCCTGGGATACAGTTTATGAAGGATTGTGATGCAAAAGGAACATATCCTTTTAAAAATAATTTGGAAGAGAAGAATAGTGGTAAGGAGTGGCTCTTATCAAATCTTGATTTGACATTTTGTTTGGCGTAATGTAAGTTACTGTTCTATAATACAACATACTTTCCCCAGAATTGTATGTTTTAATACTCATGGTCATGATTCTTCAGTGTTCTGAGGTACATAGTCAGCTTTAGCTTTAAATCTTTTTAAGTGGTAGGCTTTCATAATCTTATGCAATCTCACCTTGTATATTCCTAGCTATCAGTAATGTTTTTTCCTGGATTTTCTTCTCAGCAACCCGATAGCAGAAGGGTCAACTCTTCTGTTGGATTTTCTGTTTTGCAGCATACAAGCAATGACCCATATTGCTTTGTGGAATTTTATGAACACAGAGATGCAGCTGCTGCATTAGCTGCTATGAATGGGAGAAAAATTTTGGGAAAGGTAAGATAATAGAATAATGGCACCTCATGAGTGCCTGTGTTTGCATGTTAAATTAGCTTGTGTTCTTCCTTAGCAAGTTCTTAAGAGACGTTCAGCTGCTGAGTGGTGGTTTTGTTTTATTCAGCCTAGTGCTGTTACAAAAGTAATCCTGCTTGATTAATGATTTATTAAGTGGTAAGTGTTATAATTCATAATGACATGTCTAATAATTCTGTTCAAATATAATCTTTATTTTTAGGAGGTCAAAGTAAACTGGGCAACAACACCAAGTAGCCAGAAAAAAGATACTTCCAGTAAGTACTCCTGCTGCATTTTACTGTGGAAGAGTTCTGAAATGATCCTGGCAGCATTACCAGCTTAACTAGGGTTCTTTTTTCCTCCTTTAGTGTTGCCTACAAAAGGTGTAATAACTGACTTTTTTTAAGTATTTGATTACCAAATGCTTTGATTTCAGATCACTTCCATGTGTTTGTTGGGGATTTGAGTCCAGAAATTACAACAGAAGATATCAAATCAGCATTTGCCCCCTTTGGTAAAATATCGTAAGTATCGTGCTCAGTACTAGACTCAATAGTGATAGGCAAAGTTGTTTATGATTAACTTGTATTGGAATTAAGATTTCCTTTCTCTAATTAGTGTGTTTTCCTTTGGTTATTAGTTTTCTTCTTTTGGTTTGTTTTGTTTTTTAAGTAGATGTTGTTGCAAATGTTAATGTCATTTCAATGTTTTGGGGTCTTGTTTTCATATAATCCTGTGTATAATATGTTTTAAAAAATTTAAGTGATTCTGTTTGTTATCTTTGAAGCAGATGTTTGGGTGGTAAAACTACAAAGTCAGATTTTTGTCAAGTGTTTTCAAAACTTGGTGGTTAAGGATAATGGGTTAATAAAGTGTAAATGTGATTTATACTGTATTAAATTTTTATTAGAAAAGTTTATAAGTGGGGGAAAGTAGGTTAATCCTTGAGTATATTGTGTTCGAATTGGAAATGTTCATGTTTAAACATGTTGGTAAATGTGTTTTGATATTTTAGCTGTAAGAAAAAGTATTATAGTATTAAAATGTTTAATGTCTGAATCATAAATGTGAGATTAATTAGACTTTTTGTAGTAATATTTGATTCTGCTAGTGAGGGGATAAATATGGTTTGATTTTAATACTCATGGTATTAACTCAAATCTTATTGTTACTTGATAAAATATATTAGCTAAAGTGGTTACAAGGTCTATAATCTTTCTGATTAAAATAAGTTTATTTTGTATATTTCCTATAGATTTAAATGAAATGGTTTAGTACTACTTAACAGAAATATGTTTCAATTAAGAACAACAACTTTTTTCTCTGTATAATTTGTTGTTCTATAGATTGATTTGAAAGAAATATTTAATTCTTAATTTTCTATTTTGATATTTGCTTTGCTTTTTAATCTAAATGTGGTAAGTAGTACTGTTTTTAAAAATAGTATAAAAATAATACAGGTTACTGTTTTTCAATCTTTATTTATACCTGAGACCTGCAGTTTTCTAAAGTCCAAGTCACAATTAAAAGTAATAGCATTCTGGTTATTTTGCAGAATTGCTCATAAGAATGGACAGGATCTTGAAGGCTAACTGCAAGGAACTGTGCACACTGGAACTCAGTTGTAGATTTTTTTTCTCATTTCTATTTATTCTTATTATACATTATTTATATATACATATTTTAGTATTTACATTTTAACATTCTATATTCAGTGGAGTTCTATATTTCCAATCATTTTAACTTACTCACTAAAATTTCTGTGTAAATTTGTTGTTTTCGTACTGGTGTGCTTAGCATTGTTGTTAGTTTTTTATTCTCCTTTCTTAAATTTCTGAAAATGTCAATTTTTCAAAATTTACAGCTGCCCAAACTCCAAAATGATGGTAGAGAATTGACCAAGAAAAATAAAGAAATCTGTTAACAGGCCATGTATGCCTTTTTAATTCCTATTTTTTCCTCTTTTTCAATTTTTTAATATTTCATATATTTTGTATCACTAGGCAGAAGACATTTAACTATTTAGATATTGCATGGTAAAGTAGTTAGCATTGTTACAGTAATTTATAGAATCAGTAAATCTTAGAGGACACTAGCAAATAGAATATTAGAAAAGGAAACTATTGTTCCTATTAATCTTCAAATTTGAGCATTTAGTTTAGAAAGCACAGGCTGTTTGATTAGGTTGCATGTTTATTACATGTTTTTGTCCTACTGCTTTTTTCTAACAGGTAAAGAAGCATTAGGGAGAGTTCAGGAATGACTGTAGTTAATTAGGGCTAACTGGAATTTTATTTTAAAAAATGCTCACAATACAGTGTGTGTGGTTCCTTTTAGTTTTTATTTTGAGGGTTACTCTTACTTCCCTCATTTAGCTGTGCTTCTTTTCACAGGGATGCTCGGGTAGTTAAGGACATGGCAACTGGAAAATCCAAAGGCTATGGTTTTGTATCTTTTTATAACAAACTGGTATGTTCTTTCAACTTAATTTAAATTCTTAAATTCTAAATTTAGTTATTTAATCTATAGTAACTGAACCTTGAATGTGCTTGGATGTTAACTACAAACAATTCGTATGAAATTTCATGTATATATTAATAATAGAGTATAATTCATTCTTCCCTAAACTTGAAAATAAGTAGCTAGAAGAACTGATTTTTAGGGTGTTCACATTATAAAGGAAAATTACTAAAATTGGATTTGTACATTGGTGAAGGTGATAATGTGTTAGAAGTAAAGCCCAAGATTAGCACAAACAGCTAATCTAAGAAACTAGAGGGGGGAGATAAATTACATTAAGTCTTAACCAGGAAAATCTCAGTTGAAATTCTTTCTTTGAAATAATCTGGGTTTTTTTGTAACTGGGATGTTAATGACTTCAGCAGTCATATAAATGAAAACTTAAGCAGCTCATCTTAATCTTTGCATGACTTCTTGAAGGAAGAGTTACTAAAATGTCTAAGCATTGCATTAACTATGGCATTAAATGATAAAATGTGCTTTGATTTTAGAACAGTTTCAACAACTGAAATTACCTACATTTTATTGGAGCAGTAAAAGACCAGAGTTATATTCTGTCTTTGTTTAGATTAATTGCATATTTGCATTGACCTGAATAGCCTAAACTCATTTTATATTGACAGCCTTTTAACAGCACTCTAAATCATAATTCAGAAGTCTTTTGAGTTTTTAAGCTATGTATAGGCACAGTTCATTATTGATAATACAGGGTAGATTTCGGGGTAGATAATTTAGACCATGATGTTACCATTTTTACATTTTCTTCAGTAAATGTTGCAATACAAACCAACCATAAAAAAAGTTAACCATTTTCTTACTGATAATAGTTTTGTTTCATTTTGTTTAGGATGTTTAGTGAATTCATTTTCTGATAAGATTTATTCCATCCAGCAGTGCCAACTTTTTATTTCAGTGTTTTTGTATACCACTCTTTTCTTTGTTTGTGATTATTCTCTCTTTTTTTCTCCATAGGATGCAGAAAATGCAATTGTGCATATGGGAGGTCAGTGGTTAGGTGGTCGACAAATCAGAACAAATTGGGCCACACGTAAACCACCTGCACCTAAAAGTACACAAGAAAGTAAGCTACGCCTAATTACAGATTCTTCATTGTCTGAAATTTGGGCTTTTAATATAAGTATGTTTCAAGCTGTGAACCACCTGATTTATTCATAGATCAAATCTATATTAAATCATAGCATTGAGAAAAATTATATTTTCTTGTCCTGTGGAGGCATATCATATAATAATTAACAAAATAGCTTGTCTGTGTGTGGTGCTAGGTATTGGACACAGGACTTTTTATATGCTAGACAAGTGTTTGCAACCTACACCCCCAGCCCACAAGATAATTTTACAACACTGTAACAGTCAACGTTTTCATTTTCTTTCTACATGTAGACAACACTAAGCAGTTAAGATTTGAAGATGTAGTAAACCAGTCAAGTCCAAAGAACTGTACTGTGTACTGTGGAGGAATTGCTTCAGGGCTAACAGGTACAGTAGTTGATTTCCTAATCCTCTTCTCTGTGGTGCTTCCTTACTGTTAGTATGAATTTCATGATGTATGTAAGTTTTAAATGTTTTATTTGTATTTCTGTTTCATAGATCAGCTTATGAGACAGACATTCTCACCATTTGGACAAATTATGGAAATAAGAGTTTTTCCAGAGAAAGGCTATTCATTTGTCAGGTAATATTCTATCTGTAATATTGTTACTACTCTTACGTGATTAATTCCTTGCACTTAAATTATTAGACCCTTCCATGGTATCAGTGTACTATTTTAGTGCTCCTTTATAATGTAGAACTTTAAACTACATATATACCGTAATGTAGGCGAAATACCAACTTACATGTGTCAATTGGGTTTAAATTCTTAAAAAATAAAAAGAACTTCATTAGATTTTCTTCTCTTAGATTTTCAACTCATGAAAGTGCAGCCCATGCCATTGTTTCAGTAAATGGTACTACGATTGAAGGACATGTGGTTAAATGCTATTGGGGTAAAGAATCTCCTGATATGACTAAAAACTTCCAACAGGTAATTCGATTTTTCTCAGCACTGTTTAAGGTTTCCATCTTACATACCTACATAAAAGCTTTGGAAACTGTAAAATAAATAGTACAATAAAGCATATAGCTACTTTCAGTTAATTGTATTAATGCTATTTCAAAATTGATTATTTTGTGGTATTAACTGAATCTTAATACTTTCTTTTCACAGGTGTCACCACCCCAATAAACTTAGACAATGATAAATAACAGAGTCCTATTCACATAAGGGTGCTTACTTAGTTTTTCTCTTCCTTGTCTCCCACTCTTTCTTCAAATACGGTGTTTCTTTCTTGTTCCCTAAAACAATACTTTGCTTTTTCCTAGGTCGACTATAGTCAGTGGGGCCAGTGGAGCCAAGTGTATGGAAACCCACAACAGTATGGACAGTATATGGCAAATGGGTGGCAAGTGCCACCTTACGGAGTGTATGGGCAACCATGGAATCAACAAGGATTTGGAGTAGAGTAAGTTGTTTGGGTTTTCCAGTTGAGACACATTGGGCTCTGACATAAGAAATGAAAAAGTGCATTTTCTAGGGAGAATCTATTTAAAATTATACATTGTGATATTTAGATTGTAAGCATTGTAGACACAAATCTAATAAAATGTGTTTAATGATGCTAAGAAATTCTCATTACCTAGGTGAAGAGATCAGACTAATATTTGGTGTAACCTGTCTCTGTAAGCAATTGGTAGAATTTGACTTGTGTTTCTAATTAAAATATTTTTAATGTTTTTTGCATATATAAAAGATCTTTGTCTAGATACGCTAAGAAATGCGATTTTATGCTTTTTTGGCATTTATGAGAGACCTCCAAAACTTACGTGATATAAAATAGCTTGCTTTTCCTGATTGTTGATAGAGTGAGTTAGCTGCTGCTAGTAAGTTGAGAATAATAAAAAAAAACAAAAACCGAAAAAATTCTTACAAGTTGATAGATCATGTGTGCAATATGTGCTGGGTAGATGGTGTATTGAATCATTTGTTACTTTTTAAAAATCAGTTTTCAGATCTCTTTGACTTATTCTAAGTTGTGGTTATAGTACTGGGATATGTGTATTGAATAATATGTACGTTGTGTTTTCATTTCATTTGTTGTAGATTTGGTGATTTCTAGTCTGTTCTGTGATTAGGCTCTTGATATTGTAAAAACACGTAGGTGATTTTTATTGTGTTTGCTGAAGTTTTTTTGTGTGTCTTTTTTCCAAGTCAATCACCTTCTGCTGCTTGGATGGGTGGATTTGGTGCTCAGCCTCCCCAAGGACAAGCTCCTCCCCCTGTAATACCTCCTCCTAACCAAGCTGGATATGGCATGGCAAGTTACCAAACACAGTGAGCTGGGACTCTAAACAAAATTGTAATTCATGATAGGCTTCGATTTCCTGTGGCACTCTGAAGACATGAAAGTAGACATCGGAAAATGAAAATATTTATTTTAAAAATTGAAATGGTTGGAACCTTTAGCACAGCCTTGCTTTGGTGAAGGACACATGTCTTCTAGTTCTGCCTTTTTAAGTTTTTGTTCATGATGGATATGAACATGATTTTTCTTTGTGTACAAAAACTAAAATAAAGTCAATAAAGACGATTCTGACTACAAATTTTGATATAATAGGAGAAATGGGTAATACATTTTGATTCTTAGATACTATTCCATTTTTATCTTGCTGTTCAGTATTTTAACTCACTGTGTTTTTAAAAGAGCAAAAAAGGGAGGATCGTGAAAACTGGGAATCACATAAGCTCATCCTGAATCCTGATACTCCCCTTCCCTTCCCTGAGGTGGACCACATTTGAAGTCAGCAGAAAAAAGTGTGATATTCAGAAGAATGCATGATTTTGGAGTCGCTCTGGAGGAATTATTTACTTTCTCTATGCCTAAAGAAACTGAAGTCAGACTGAAATTTTGCAACCTAAATAAGGAACAGCATTGTCTGAGTTAACTTGAGCAAATGTTGGTGGTCCACATTAAGACATATTTTTAAAACTTCATAAAGTGTTGATTATTAAAACTGTAGTATATTACATTTCATTTTGGGGGGGGGATTCCAAGTATGGTGTTTGTATTAAAGTCAGACAGTCATACTTGTGCTTTTACATGAAGTTTAAATGATATACATTGTAAATATTGAATAACTACAGTGTTTAAAAAGCATGCTTCAACATAGAAGTAGCAGCAATGTAATTATTTGAAGTAACACTTAACACACTCCACTGCATTGAATGCAGTGGACTGATAAGAATGTTTAAGATTGACATTTCCAAGGTTGGCTGTGTAAAATTGAAGTGACACAAATTATTACACAGAAAAAGCCTTAATTTTAATTTCATACAAATCTTTGATGCATTAGTATATTCTAAAATGTCATTGGAAATTAGATTTTTTTTTTTTTGCTTTACATTATTTGGTATGTAAATACCTTGATTAAAACCTTGTAAAACAATTTCAAGGTTCCTATAAGTTGTATAGCACAAATGTTTTTTAAAAATCTTGGGGTGTTTTTAAAAATTAGATATATTTTACCCAAGAATTTTTTTAACAAGATTGCTAAAACATCTTATTTAGACAGTTTGATGTACCAATTTATAATTGGATATTCAGTTTAAATAGTGCACAGAGTTGTGAGTTTTATTTTTAATTAATTTTTTTTCTTGTGGGGAGTGTGCATGAATGATGAGCCTGAAGAAAGGCTTGACTTGTATGTGTGCAGTTTGTAAATGAATCAGTTAGGAAGGTACAGAAGATTGAAGTTTGCTTCCATGATATTTTTCAGTCTGTGTGCATAAAATCTGCCTCAAATTTCTATAAAACAGGAATGTAAAATAGATGAAATCCTCTGTATTTAAATTGCGACAGCTAGGGGGTGCATCTGTTTTGGCCATGTATTCAGAATGTTAGCCTGAGCTCCACTGAGGAAATAACCCTTTAGAACTCAGTATAAGGTGCAGCTGGCACCAACAAATTGTTGGGGTTAAGCCTTCCAAGTCTTAGAGTTACCTTTAAGATGATAATGGTTTTGTATGTTAGTGACTACAATAGTTTTGGTATTGCTTTCTTCCTTTTCCCCATTTAAAAATACATTAAATATATTCAACATAAAAAAATCACAGGGTCTGAAGTTCATCTTGGAGTGGAAATTTTTATGGCACCTTAGTTTTACCCACAATAGTCATGTTTTATACTCTTCTATTATTAATTACCCTTGTTTCGTTTGTTCATACTGTGTTTGGGAAGTGTTTTGGAAAAGTTACCTTATATTCTATTGAGAGAACACAGGAAACTATTATGCCCCTGAGTTAAAATTTTCATGAATACTTGTGAAATGTGAACAACTTAAGATTTTAATAGATAATTGATAAAAAAAAAAGTCTATTAAATTCTCAGTTTGCCTCCTTTTTTTTTTCTCCTGCCAGTAAATTAAGTGGCTTATTGAGCTAACAGCTAAATATAGCTTTATTGTTTCCTGGTTACATATTCTATGATTTAATAAAATTATCCAGGCTAGTTACATTGCCATAGTAAATGTGACTAAAGTGTCCTTTGTCTTAATTTGGACAAGAACAAGATTTCATGATCACAGTTCTTTCATATTAAACAGTCCTAGAATATAAAGCTACTTATCCAAGTGAAATGTACCATTTAGAAAACATAGACTGTCAAGTTAACACAGACTCTACTATTTTACAACACAAGTTGAAGTCAGTGCTATCTTGATCCAATTTAAGCCTAACATTTGTTGCCTTCCCCATATTCATTAAAAACAGCAGCAGAGATTCTTTGGCATGCAAGAAAATGTTTCTTAATTATTTTGATATTTATTTTAATTGTGTTTCTGCCTGCCATCTTCTTTGCTGGAATCATCTTTCGACTAGTATTTCCCCCCGTGCCATTTTTCTGTCTGATTTTTATGTCTGCTGGCAGTGAGAGGCTAAAATGACTGGCCATCAGAAGCCAAAGCTGTAAACCACAGTTGAAGTAAGTCTTTCAATAAAGACTAGACTGTCTGATAAGTGGCTTTTTCTTATTGTCATTTATTACATTCATGTTTCAGGCTGCCATGAAATAAACAATTTGGTTTTAAGTTACCAATAAGGTATGAGGAGCACATACAATTTCAGGACTCATTTCTAATGTTCTGTGTGTGAAAAGTCCATTGGCCTTATTGAATTAAAATTTAATCCCTGGATATGGAGGGATAGAAGTGTTTGCATCCTTCCAAAATGTATGTTCTATTGAACATGATACAATGAAACCTCATTAATTTGTACTCCACAAATAGGGAACCTATTTTATTATGTTTCAGTTGATCTTTGGTATTATCTATTAGTAAAGATTATGCTCAACAAACATAAAGGTTAGGAAATTAATGTTCTAGGTACTTTTGAAGTAGATATGCCCAAATTAAATCTTCGATTATGTATATACCTTTTTAAAACATTGTAAACATTAATTTTGCCTTTTTAGTGTGTATTGGAAAGATGCAAAACATTCTTTCGCCTTTTCTAGTTTTTAAAAATCCTTCATGGGCTGGTAGAGTGGCTCAAGTGGTAGAGTGCCTACCTGGCAAGCAATGAATTCAAACCCCAGTACTGCCAAAAATAAATAAGTACCCATCACTCTTGTCTGTTGTGGTGCTACACACCTATAAATCCAGCACTCTGGAGATTGAGGCAGGAGTATTTTGAATTCTAGGCATGATTAAGCCCTATCTCAAAAAATAAAAGAAGAATTTTCATTCTTTAAGTGGCCCAACTGAGTGGGATTTTGTTTGAAATATAAATTCGGCTATGCTTAGTAATAAAATACCAGATTTCCATCTTTTTTTTTTTTTGTCAGTACTGGTACTGAACCCAGGACCATGAGTGTGCTAGGTAAATGTTCTACCACTGAGCGACAGCCAAGCCTTCTTTTGTTTTGTTTTTTGAGACAAGGTCTGACTATGTAACCAGGCTGGCCTCAAACTTGTGACCCTCCTGCCACACCTCTTTGAGTGAGGCATGGGCCACCACCCCCAGCTCTATTTTATTTGTAAATAAGGAACTATGTGAATAATTGTGACTTTAAAAATGTCCCAATTGTGGCAAATTGGTGTGATATTTAGTTAATTTATAAACATTCTCAAAATATAGCTCATGGTGGCCTCAGACTCAAATCAGATCCTCCTGCTTTCAGCCTTCTGAGTGTTGAGATTACAGGTGTGAAATGCCATGCCTGACTGGTAAGGTATTTAAGTACCATATTAATAGGAAACGTGTGCTCCCATTTTCTACTGAAATTGGGTTTATTTTGAAAAGTAGTAAGATAGTTTAGGTACTATTAATAAGGTACTTAGGGAAAATACCTCTTTTAGGGTAAGAATGATTTGGTTTTAGAGTTATATAAATATGAAAAAAGTTCAGAAGGGGTACGGGGAACTATGTGTGTATGTTACCTTAAGGGAGAAAAATGCACTAAGTAATTGTATAATGGAATTAGGCTCTTATTTGGGGGAGAGACTTTTTAAGCAAGAATGTCAGGGTAACAAAACCAAATATATCCAATAAACAATTTTCTTAATGTTCCAAATCAAATCCAATATGTATGCTAAGTTTTAACTTCCAGTTTGTTGCATTTTTTAAAAGTGTTATTTTTTGTGGGCCTACATTGGCCTTGAACTCCTGGACTCAAGTGATCATCCTGCCTCACACCTGTGTAGCTTGGACTTTCTCTCTCTCTCCCTGTCTCTCTCTCCCCTCTCAACAAATGCACTAACAATTTTATCACTGAGATGATCCCCTGGAAATGCGTTTGAATGTATTGGGGTTTTTTCCCCTTTTGGTGCTGGGGATCAGACTCAAGACCTTGCACGTGCTAAGCGTGCCCTCTACCACTGAGCTGCACCTCTTGGCACTCTGCTCCTTACCACCACCACCATTTTTAGGAGACAAAGCTTGCTAGTTGCCTAAGCTCCTCTTAACTCCTGGGCTCCAGGAGTTCTGTCTCACCCTCCTGAGTAGCTGAGGCTACAGCTGAGCACCACTCTTTGAGCTCCATATCTAATATCTTGAAGTCAGCTTGGAAAGTTCACAAAATAAACTGAAGTGTTTTGGGGTAGCTGTTAGAGGAAAACCAGGGCAATTGTGTGCTGAGAAGTAATCTGGTTACATTGTTCAGTTGTTGACTTGGAGCTGGGCTCAGCTTTCCTGTGCACCACTTTTTGACTCCTTCATTCTTGTGTATGGATGAGTTTTGCAAATAAACCTGGTTGTCAAGTGGTACTGTAGCATTATGACATTTTTAAGATAAGCCACATTTTGCTGTATATACACAGTAGATAGCACAACTTGTTCGTCTGATTTTTTTCTTGTCCTCCCCCACCCCTTTGTTAGGTTTTGGTATACCAGTAAAGAGAAGTCCAAAATCATATAGGCAAAATGAGCATGAAATATGTAGCTGTATGCAATTGTTCTGAGGATTGATATTTTATGTATTACAGATTTTCACATCCATTTCACTGGTTTAAGAGTTGGGAGTTGAATTGTTTCAGATTGGTTTATGATGATTGATTCTGCTAAACAAAAATAAAGCTAATGCCTAGGATTTAACATAACTTTAAAATATTGAGAACCTCAATTTTATAATCCTACTTTGCTTTCTTACGAATAAGTAAGCTTGGAAAGCGTTTTAACTGATTGCTTAGGTAGGTTATATTGCAGCATATGGCACAGCTCAAGCTGGGTGTCTGTCTGTGATGATTCAACTGGGAAGGAGTGCAACAAGTGGGTGCAAGCGGCTCACACCTGTAATCCTAACTACTCACAAGACAGATCAGGAAGACTGTGAGACCGTATCTTGAAAATAAGCAATACAAAAAAGGGCTGGTGGAGAAGTTCAAGTAGTAGAGCACTTGCCTAGCAAGCCCAAGGCCCTGAATTCAAATCTCAGTACCGCCAAAAAAAAAAAAAATTGGTGACAAGGATCCTAAAGAAGAAAGCTGATTCAGAGGGACAGTGACATGGGCCTACACAGTCTATACCTAGACAGGTAAAATAAACCAAGACAGGTGGATAATTGGGTTGGGTGTGAATGTGCAATATGTCATTTAAGATTATACACATTTTATCAAGAAGACTAAGATTGACCAGACTATTGAGAATAAAATATTACCAGCATCTTTGCTGGTAGGTGGTCCCAGTTCGATTTCCACTAGATGTGCTTCTATGTAGTAATGTGGATTCTACATTAGAATGTTGGACAAATGTTACTGTTTTAAAATAATTACCTTTTGAGTGATAAAATGATGGTTAAGGAGATCCTTGCATTTTTAATGGATGATTTCATTCCCTGGTTGCTTCACTATATATTTTTGATTGTGGCAGTCTTTCTCCATGAGAATGTAAGCTTTGAGGGAGCAGATACACAGGTACTCTATTTTGTTCTTTTTCTTTTTTGTTTACCCACACAGATTCTAGGGTCTGCTTGGCACATTGTATATGTTCAGTAAATGTTGAATGCATGCACATTATTGAGGAAGTGAAAGTAAACATGTATTTTAGTCTCCCTCTTGAAACAAGAACACCACCTGGTATTCTGTTTGAGCAGAATTTAATGACAATGAACTGAATACTTATTAAAATGCAGATTCAGGGGCTGGCCCCACAGTTGTGGGTGAAGGTAGTCTGAAATAAAATTGTCCTAGGTTCCTTTTTTCCTCTTCCTCACTCTTGAAGAAAACCATATTGGCCATGGTCACAGAAAGCCTAGTTGTTTGGAGTTAATCTTTGTGACTGCCACTTGGTATAGTTTACCAAGCATCTTTCAGAGGTGAGTGGGATGTGCTCATAATGGGAATGGTTGGCTACACTGGGTAGAAGCCTCTGCCACTGCATAGCTCTCTTCAAGACTGGATGGCTGTGGTGCCAGATAGCTTGAAGGGGATTGCTTTTTAGGAAGAAGCACTGCCAGCACAGCAGCATTGGCTTTCTGGATAGGAGACATGACTATAACAGACAAAAATGGAACTAGCCATGGGAAGTGACATAGTTGAGATTCTTGAAGTGACATGTATATATAGCACAGACATTTAAAGTCAGCAAGTACTTCACCGTTTTACTGATAGAAGGGTTAGCATAGAAGGAAGTTTCTTAATTGTGATAATTAAGGGAGGATGGTAAGTTATGAAAGACTTGTAGCAATCCTAGGTAATTTAACAGTGTTGGTCTTCCACTGTTTGATATCCCCCATGTGAAGGCACAGTTAAACTAGTGTGTCATTTAAATCTGATTCACCCTTCTATCATGAAGGATAAGTGTTTACTGAAGGCTTTATATTTTTAATTTGGTTGGGTCTTAAATATGTGCCTTCAATCTAGTTATGCTGCGAAATACAAACGCTTTAAATTTTAATATACCTGGAAATTACTTGCATTTACTCAAAGACATTTATGCCTTACTGAAATTTACTATCTTAAGCTTTGTTTTGACATTAGATTTGCTGATGATTTTATTATACTTAAAGACTGGTGACAATGCAAAA